CAATGGTCGCGGTGAAAAAGGCTCGCACAACCCTCGTCGGCCTCGTATATCGTATAATATAGGCCGGCATATGCGCGATGGAAAACGTTCCATATGTTGTGCGGAAAGGTTGATTAACGCAGCCCCCGTCGAGCACGCACAAATAATATAATATTATAACGACGGCATCGACATCGACGACGACGACGACGACGACGACGACATCGACAACGACAACGAGTGGAAGGGGGGTGCAACGCCACTCGTGATTCGTACAAAAGGATCGAGAGTGGTTGTGTGTGTGTGAGTATTATATAATGTGTGAGAGTATTATATAATATATATGTGTGTGTGCGTGTGTGTGTGTGTGAGTGCGAGCACCGCATCTGCCGCGCTAGACTATTGGCCGCAACACATGTTAGCTGCCCGCGACGCGTAGCTCGTTAAACGTTCTGGTCGACTATGGAGCGGGCGTGCTAAATATAAAAAATTAAAATATGTACAGGGAGAAGCGGTGGTGTCGTCCGGGCGGATAGCGATCGATTCCGCGGCCCGGATCCGATCGATATTATTATTATTTGTACGAAAATATAATATAATGTGCGCCCGGTCGTCGGCCGAATGAGCGTTTTAATCCACCGTGGCTGAGGAGAACCAGATGTTCGTGGCGCACGAACCGTTCAACACGAATTGACTCCCGATGGTTTGCAAACCGCCCTCGTCCCACCACCGCAACCACTATATACTTATTACCCTCCCCCTTACCACCCCCCCCCCACCACCACCACAAACACCATTATTCCGGTGACTATGATTAAGAGATTTTCATGAAATTATTTTCAAAAAATGTTCTAGGCAATACTCTACAGCCGATATTATTATCATCATGTTGGGTGAAGCCATGCTGTATCGTACTTAAGTACGAGTTATATCTGCAGCGGATAAAGTAGCACAAGATTATTTAAATTTTTTAATTAAAATTATATCGTTTCACTTGTATTTATATATGAATGGCAATTTGTTAAAAGGGACCTACATTTGAAAATGTACATTTTCAACTACTTTTCAGGAGAAACAAAAAACAGTTTTCCTTTATTTCTATTTGTGTAATAAGATCAATCATCACAATTTAGATTAAATACAATTGTATAAAAAATAAAAAGCAAAAAAAATTTTTCTAATAATTTTATTAATTTAAGGTATCATAATTTAATATAATAGTCACATTTTAAAATAATTGATAGTGTAAATGTGTAATTAGTTTGATAATATTTACGTACCTAGGTATTATTATGTACTGCAGGTATACTGAAAATACTAAATAAGCAAATGTACCGATTAATCCGTGTATTAACCGTCTAATATTTTTTTTGAACAACAATTTTTCTTGTTTTTCTAAAATTATTGTTTTTCTTTTGTTACTATAATGATACTATGTGTTAGTTAAAATTCACCGACACCTGTAATACTATATTTTACTGAAGCATATGCGAACGTTCTGTCAATAGGTTATGTCAAAGGAGTACATATGACGATTGCATTTGTAAACGAATTACAAATACAATGTTCTAATCAAAGTTTTTGTCATTCCGAACGAACTAAAAACCATTTAGTCCGGGGACGCTTTTTTTAAACATACTCTAACAAAATACGAATGACTATTAAATTGACCTGCCAGCCAGGATTGCCCGAGGGGTGAGACGACCCTTCGTTACAACAACCAACCAACCACCCCTTATAAAGGGCCACCTGTTCTCTGCAAGTGCGATTCATTATGTCCCTTCGTATACCCTCTTGTGTGACACTCGTTTATCGAAGTGTTACGAACCTATGGAAGAAGTGGTAGAATAAAAAAATAAAAATAAACCCAGTTACATTGAAATGTGATTATTTGACCGTGTCTATATCCTACTGACAATTCAAAATGTAGAGCTTATTATTATACCACTGTATAATTTTCGAGTTATTTGTAGATGACATACTGGTTTTTTAAAAATATTTTATGACCTACTTTGTTTTTACATCTAAAATACAAACGAATTTTAAAAGGTTTATATTTAATGGTTGCCGATAATGAATAAAATACAATGAATACACAAAAATATTTGGAAATACATTTTTACTAAATCAATAAATTACCAAAGTGATTTCAAGATTTTACTTATAGGGTGAGTTGCAACATTTGTATTTTATACAGGTATTTTAATTTTTAAATGTATGTTAAATTGTTGTTGTTGCAATAAACTATTATAATTATTTTATTTAATATTCAAAATTTTTTTTTTAGTTGATCTTAAGCCCTCCGACTATGGCCATTAGCTGTATGGTTTTTGTAGGTTTTTATGTCGGTAGGGGGGGACACGTGTGTGTTGGGTTTGGCAGAATTTTTGATGGGGCACCCGTAGGTGGCAGGGTGGGGGATGACAGCACTTGTTCTCCGGACACCGTGACTTTCCCGAAGAAAAATGCCGCCCGTGACCAAGGTATCGAGCCAGCGTTGGCTGCGTCGCAGCCGACGCCTTAGACCGCTCGGCCACTCCGTCCTCCAATATTCAAATTGTATATTATAATAAACTTAGATATATTATTATAAGAGGTATATTTGCTATTAATATGTATTAAGTACAGTTGTGAGGCTCGAATACAAAAAACCGTGTTTAACTTCTAGCGTTAATCAACCCCAGTAGCTCATCAGGTAGTAGGCACACAACAAAGAGGTTTTTTCCATTGTAATAATAAGTAAACAATAAACATAGTCGTTGGGTATTAAGTATTAACGTTATTTATTTTCATAACAAGCTTACAAACATTTTCTGAAATGAATGGAACTTATTTAACAAGACTAAAAACCTATTGCATTGTATTAATAATCCAACTATAAATCTACATACAATTTTGGATTGCTCATGGAATTTTGTAATTTAATCGTTCGACTTGATGACTATTTAATACACGTATTTACTAGGTATTTAATATACATAATTTTGAATAAAACTAAGGCCAATGTATATTTTTTAAAAATCGAGGAACTCACTCTGCTTGAAAGTAGATATCTAGTCATAGAGTAGGTCACTATAATGGATGTGTTAATTTTGAATTAATTAGTATATAATAATCATATAATTATAAAATTAATATTAATATTAAGTAAGAAAAACGATTCTAAGCGGAGATCGTCTGTCAGTCATTATTTCTAATTTCTAAAGATATCGTATATCCTACCTACATATTTGTCTATTAGTTATAAGTACAGTAATAGTTGCACTGATATTCTGCAAATATCATTTTTAATAACAATACTCGTATTGGTGAAAGTTTCATGACCGTAAAAATATTATTTTTTGAATTACAACAGAATAACTATAATTGTCATTATTTGTTTGATATTTTTTCATCACTAAAAGCCCAACTGACCAGAAACGTTGTATAACATTATTAGGCTCTTATGAAAAAAACTAAAACATTTCAATAGCTTAAAATGCCTATAAATATCTCAAAAAGAGCTGAAAAATTGAATATTGCAGGTACCATGGTCTATAAAACACTAAAATAAATATTTGGTGAAAACCCATTTTTGAAGTTGTAGATTGAAGGATTTTTACTGGTCCAAAAGGTAATGACAGGCACAAAAGAATTTTTTTTTAATAACACACATCTACATCTACTCACAGTAGTTGACTGAGAATCTAAAAAAAAAACTACTTACCTAAATAAGCATTAAAACATGACATCAATGTTAAAGTACTTATATTTATTTGACTAAAATCAGTTAAACATAATTCATTGACCATAAGCATGAATATAATTAACATATATATATTTTATGCACATCAATTAATATAGTAAAACCTACGCCATATAGGTACCTACAATGGTAATAGTAATAGTATTTTTAACTTTCTATGCAACTATTGTACCTATTTAGATTTACACTAGAGAGTATAATATTATTGTATAATATACTATATAGTAATATTAGTAACTGATATGGGTCACGTTATATTATCTAAAAAAAAATGTTATAATCACAATCAATACGGGTGAATTATTTTTCTCTCCGTCAACATATTTTTTGGCACTAACTACATAATAAAATTATAAAGGAAACGAATGCTATTTGTATTTAGGTACCTATATATCATATAACTATGCGTCACGGTAATTTATAATAATATGCTATATATTACAGTATTGGAAACGAACCGATGTCTGTCGGAATATATTGTGTATTATAATATAATTATATCAATGCGATTACAACACGAGATAGATCTCGGGAGACCAGATAACACACTCTGGGCTGGATTTCCTGAGCGACACGACTTGTTCGTCCGGCGTAATAAAGTTATTATCGCATTGTTTCCTCCACGAATGGGGAGCCATTAATCAGCGAAAACGGCACCGTCTTGCTGTGCAATCTGCATTTCAGCCTCATTAACTTTCATTATATTATACACGCGGAGATATGGCGCGCACAACTGTAAGACAAACGGCGCACTGGCGTATCCCGGAATCCCTAGACAATGGTTTAACCCTTAAAACGTCCCTTGGAACACATACCGCACATGTATAATATTATATTAAATACTTCTGTGTTTCCGCGTAATATTCTATTATCTCTTCCATCTGGTGTTTGAATATGCCCGACCAGTCCTTCTCTCGACTCATTTACCTCTTTCGGTCGTTAACTCGCCCTTAACAAAGTTCTTTTGTTGCGCATTGCGATGCCACCCGATTTGCGAACATCGTCCGCATGCACAAAAAAACCCAAACCCGAAACATTTTTAAACATTTTTTATTCTTTTGCGATAGTGTGATAATGCGACTCATCAATTATAAATAGGTAGGTAGGTGTATGCAAAAGTACTTGGTTTAGTTTATTCACCCATCCATTTCATACATGCATTACATGTTATGTAAATTGAAAACCTGTAGCTCAATATTATAGATTACGTTTAAATGATTTAAAAATATATATTTATGTGCACAACGTATAATATAATAGTTCACATGTTTTTGATTCATTCGGTTTTGCTGTGCTGAGTGCAGTAGAATTGTGATATGTGGAAACGGAGCTTGTGGTGTTTTGCCATGTCACGTAGGACTATGAACCCAAAAACGAGCTGCGACAAGAGTAAAAGGCACATTATGCCTTGGACAGCCATTTCAACAGGCATGTTGTTCAGGAACAAGAATACCAACTGCAGAGGTAATTGGAGGATCAACGAAAACATCCAAAATGCGGCCAAATCCGGAATCTATAACGTCATAAAATAAACACGGTTGAAATTCGAAGCATTATCAGAGGTGCATATTTTGGAGGGAGTCCTGGATGCGCCCCCCCAAAAAAAAGTAATATACTTTTTCGTTGAGATTTCCTTGAACACCCAAGTATAATCGAGCGCATTCCAGCATCAATATCAAAAGTAGCGACACGGAGATTATAGTTTGAGTCAACATGTTTAAACAATTCAACTAAAAACAAATTAAAAATGTGTATATTGTTATATAGTTATTAGCAATTTTACTATATTACCAAAATGGTAATTTAACTTACTTTAAACGAGATCAGTGATAAAAACGTATAAAGCCAAAATGGAAAGTATACAACGTTAAAATACAGTGACATTTGCAGCGGAAGACTAGATACGATTTCGTTACCTACAATATATTATGCGTTTTAACATTTATTTAAAAAAACTACAATAACTACAATTAGTATAATATGTATAATATTATATATTATATACGATATTATATGTCTTTATATTATGTATATTTTACTATTTTAATATATTAATAATAATTTCACAAATAAATTCCCAATACTCTCATTATTCATAGACAAAAATTAAATTTATTTATAAAACCAAACTCGTACCAAAAGCTGTTCCCACTTTTTCTTCGGGAGGGAGAGATGGAAATATCCGATCAGTAATGTTCATCATTGTTTGCCGCCAACTGTCACTCATTGTTAATTATTATTCGCAATACAATTAATGTAATACAACTAAGAAAAATCATATAAAACATATTATTATAAAACAATTTCAGAGGTAACTAAAATTTACATTTTACAATTTTTAATTAAACCGTTTATAAATTATAATAATAATTATATCATGTTAAATTATCAAAAGGTATGTAGGTGTACCTATCTACCTAGACATAGATTTGGCTCTTGACAGGGACTATACCAGTTCATACACGCAGTGCCGTAATTAGGAATTTGGTTTGGGAAGAGAAAACTGAAATAGATGCTGTTGCTGTGTCAACGACGATATTGGGTTCAAATTTGAATATTTTATAAAAATCTAATAGATAATAAAAGAAATTTTTATTTTTATTATTTAAAACTTGTTATTATTGTTATTTTTTGAGTTCATAATGCTGAATTATTTAAGTTTGAATTATTTTAATTTTTAATACATAATATTATTTCTGTTGTTGAACTATATCACGTATATACAATAATTTTTTTTTATTTTTAATATTATTATTTTTTGAATTCATAAAGCTGACTTATTTAAGTTTGAGTTTGCATAATATTATATTATAATACATAATATTATTCTGTTAATGAATTATATGCAATTATTTTTTATTTTTATTTTTTTATTTTAGTATTATAATTTTTTTAATTCATAAGCTTGTGTTACAACAGTTAAATATAGATACACCAGTATGGCAGTATATCATCACATTATAGATTAAATATAACTGTTTATTTTTATAAACTGTTACTTTTGTTTGTTTTTTCAGTGTTTCGTAAATTTTTATGAAAAAGAATATTTTTGCATATAAAAGATTATTTTGGTGAAATTATAGAGCATAGAAGCATCTTATTTTCAAGATTTTAAGCGCATATAAATCCGGTCTCTAGTCGTTACTAATACTTTGATCAAAATGTTAGCAGTAAAAACAAGTTTCACAAAGTTATTACGCCCCTGCATATACGTCCATACATAAATTTAATACTTTGTTACCTATACCCACTGGGTATTCCTTATTTTTGGAAGTTAATTATTCTCAAATTACTTAATTAATTAAGTTTTGCCCGTTCCATGAAAAAACAAAAGTTTTAAAAATAGTTCATTATAAAAATCGTTATTTTTAATATAACCAATCATTACAAGTATTTAAGTACCTACCTATGTATTACCCAGAATAATAGTTAAGTATTTTTTCTGACGTCATTAGGTATGTTTAATAAATTACTATATATTAATACACTCTATACACAACACTCTTTTTACCGCTACTCTCTAGCTATAAATGATCGACTAATTTCCATGTCTGTGAAATAATTGGCTCACCGGCATTATCCGATCGATTAAAAACTGTCAATATTTTGCAAATAATTTTTAGACTTTGCAAATTATATCGATATTTTTAAATTCTGAGTGAAGTGATGAACGAATTGATTTTACATACATTAAATTACAATGATATGTGTGTGTTTGTCACCACCTAACCTTTTGGAGCAATAAAAATTATATTTACATTTTTTAATATTATTGCTATTAAAGTATAATGTATAGAACAGTATTAATTTTGAAAATGAATTTAACAAAATCTTTAATCTTCGTTTGAATATCTAATTTTTTCCAAATTTGAACTTAAAATGCCTATCAGTTCTCATACGGCCAGCCTACTGTGCACATGTGTTGCTCTCGTATAATGTCCTGGCTTAACTTACCTAATCTAAACCAATTTTATCGAGTGTTACACTAATCAATGCATTTTTTTAAAAGCAGTTCATAAACCTAGCGTCTCATCAGCCGTCGTCTGTTATTCTTCCGTAGAACGGTAATAATATAAACATTAAAATACAAATATACAATTGTCAATAATTATTAATTGATTAATTAAATCAGGGCGCGTTTAAAAATCGATAACTTGAACTGACACAAAAATTATATTAATATGTACCTAATAAAAGGAATAAAATATAATATTTACCCAAAACCAATACAAAATCGATGACAACAGCTACAGACAAGCGTTTACTTGCACATTTACACTTTTAACTACCCACAAACGTTTTTGTTCCGAGGAAATGGGGTTAAAAAAACAAACGTTCCCTGGACGTTTTGTTTTCCTGCGTGTTTCCATGGCACCGGTGCACATCGACCACACATACCAAAAAGGAGAATACTAATATACCCGGGTATAATAATATGCTTGCGAAAATGTAAATTCAAAACCAACGGCGTTACCGAAACTTGTTGCCGTTTTCAATGTTACTTTCGGTTGCTGGTTGCTCGAACTAACTAATCCATCCATAACGACATAACGTACATTACGATGTAATCCATCCATACTCACGAATAAGCCAAATAACGTTACCTATCGTATCATTGATTATATTATTATTTTATAATCAATGGTTTTTGACTTGTAGGTAGGTACCTAACCTACTAATACTCATAAAGGTATTGTAACGAGTTTTGTAGGTACAAAAACCAGTAGGTTTATCTTTACACAAAAAACACGATACTGAGATATATAGTAGATATCCGGTGTGCGAAATCCCATGAAATAGAAGTCACATAGTTATCACATGGATTGGTAATAGGTTAAGTGATGGTACAAATGCGATATCAAAATGTGATTACTGTAGGAAGTAAATAAAGCCTTCTATTGTATATTTTATAAGCTACCTAAAAACTGCACAAGGTAATCACATAGGCATGTGACTACTATAGAACATCACTCATGTTACATTATGCAAACTACTCATAGATGACCTATAGAAATCATATAGTATTAAATGATAACAATCATGTGTTGACACAAAAAAAACTTCCATTAGAGGTCCATGTTAATTACCGAAATATTATTCCCAATGCTTAAATTGAATGTTCTTATACTGTACTGTTCAATCCAGGTAGTTTAGGTTCCTCACTTCTCTCAATCCACCATTGTCAGCAATATTTTCATCCAATGTCATTTTACCACTTATCTAAAATTGTATATGGATAGGTAGTTGATTTTTTTTCATTTATTGTAAAATACAATAATATATTTATTATTTTATTTTAACTATATTATATTTAGGTACCTACTTAAATATTTAAATTTCATTATAATATAGAACATTAAAACAAAAAAACGATTTATTCTTTCATCATCAACTGAGAAACTGAAAAAAATAGTAAATATGACGGGTATACTGAACGCTTCTGACGACTGAGCTAGATTTGGAATTGAAAATATTGTTAATCGTCGCCGACGAATGTCGACAATTGACGATTGCCATAGAGATTATTATAATTTATAAAATATATTATTTACTATGATACATCCATAGAACTTATATATTATACTCAGTATCTATACGGTCTATTGATAAATCGTATGCATTTTTACAGAAATCTTTGTGATCAGCAATGTACATATATTCTGGTTTTCTATTTCAGTTATAGTTCGCATGCCAAATTTAACTATGTAAAACTGCATGGTCCGCAAGTTTATAGACATTCTATCATTCGAATGCATTATACCGGCAGTTCCTCTAGACACAGTGTTTGAGATGTTATATTTTTTTGGCACCTAATTAAATTACCATATGAATTATTATAAGTTTCCTTTGGAGGTACTTGCCCAAAACTCGACTACCGGGATTTAAATAAAAAAATGTGATTTAGGTAACCTAATAGCTATTGATCTATTATAAAATAGAAACTGAACCTACCAATAATATCACTATATATAAAATAATTAAAAGGGATAATTTGAAGACAATTTCTTAAAACCCTAAAATATTTTTTAATTTAGTGTCTAATCTTTATAGTGTAGCTGTAGCACCCAAGCAAATTTTTCAATTTTTTTTTTCGGAAACCTATAATTTGCAACCGGTTATAAGTTTTATAATGCAAAAATTAATTCACGGAAATCATTAGTTGTTATCGCTTAGCCTTACGAAGTTTACGATTTTCGGTGTTTTAAGCGCCCGTACAACGCTTAACGCTTACCGTGCTTAAGTATAACAAATTAAAATTATTTTTTAAGCCTAGGTAAATCAACGTTTTAAAAATTATGGTGCAAAAATAATTCTAACACCCACCCATGATGGTTTTACATAACAAGTCGAGTGATGTTTTTACTTTTGAAGTTATACTTCTTTACGCACGGTAGTGAGGAAAAAAAAAAGCGAACGGGCGGCGCGTACGAACGGGCGGCCGTACGAACGCGAAAGCGTACATGTCCGTAAATAAATAAATATTGTCATGGTAATGTTGTTTTATTATATATTATAATATATATATGTATATATCTGTATATATAAAACAGTAAGCTGATTGACTGCTATCAACGCACAGCTCAAACCATTGGACGGATCTGGCTGAAATTTGGCATACAGATAGCTATTATGATGTAGACGTGCGCTAAGAATGGATTTTTCGAAATTCGCATTTTAAATAGGTGCTCAAACAGGGACATTGAGATTCAAGATAGAAATTGGAAATTTTATTTTTATTTATTAATAGTTACCATTGGTTACAGTCTACATTAGAAATTAGCATTTATTTATTGGTTGCCATTGGTTATTCGGGCAGATCAGGTACAAGCTTGCATCAAATCAAATTATTGAACATTGCCTACCAGAGTGGCTGAGTTGCACTTACCCCAGCAAGTTACACCCAAAAGGAGTTCAACAATCATAATTTTTTTAAGAGTTGTGATTTTTTACGAGCAACCAAATTTGTTATATGAATATGTAATGATCAATTATTATTTATTTTTATTATTATTATTAGTATTCACTCACAAATCTATTGTCTGGATAAAAACAATACTACAAACAATTACCCATCGATCTGTCGAATAAAAATATAAAAATAATAATAAAACTATCAATAATAAATAATTCCGGATACTTCTTCTCGTTTTTTAAATTAATTAATATTTTTTTCTTTCTTTTTCACTCACTCACGTGTACCATTCAAAAGAAGTTTAACTTCCCGCG